ACATGGCATTCGAAATTAGGGTATGTAGGTAGGAAATTCCTTTTTTGCCATTTGTTTACAAACATAATGGAGGCGACAGCATGAAGTCAAGGGTAAAATGTAGAAATCGATTGTCTTATGTATTTTTTCCCTCTCATTTTCCCATAACAATATAGGGTATGGGCTGTCAGAAAAGCGTACACTGTTATTTCGGTTCAGATCTGTCAAGTTGTCTATCTGCAATCAGCTGGCGAATATCATGGTCTTGAGCATCAAACCAGTCATACTGTACTACTCTCCTTCTGCCCAAAACTGCTTTAGATGCATCTTGAAGAATCTGTTTGGTCTGTTCCCTTGTTATAACGACTGTCAGTCAAAATGGCTGTAGGTCAGCGCACTTTTGGGGGTTCATCGCTGTGTCGTATTTTGTAGGTGGGTGTGCTGAATGTGGTGGTCGCAAGAAGACAAATCTGCACCTAGCAATAAGCAACCTATGGTCTGTGAAACAGCTTGCGCTTCGAAGCACGCGAGTGACACGGATGTCATCGAGTGCATCGGCATTCGCAAGGACGTGATCTATCTGATGCCATTGCTTGGAGTGTCTTGAATTTATTCTTTAACCTGAACAATGTCCCAGTGACTGTCAGTTTCACTCGTGTACACATCTCTAGCAGTAGCAGCCATTAGAGTTCATCTTTCCTACGCCATGTCTACCAAGTACACCAGGCCAGATTTCATATTCACTTCCGACGCGTGCGTTGAAGTCTCCCATCACAATCATTTTTCCTTTTGTCTAGGAGATGATGCGACTTAGCTCTTCATAAAAGGCTTCTTTTTCATAGTTTGGTCTCTGCATTGTTGGTGCATAAACACTAATGAAAGTCACACTTTTGCCGTGTTGAATGTCTGCTGTCACAGTCATGAGACTTTCATTTATAGCTGTTGGTTCACAATGCAGCTTTAGGTTTTTCGACATGGCAAAACCAACACCTGCTGTGCGATGCTTGCCACCACTCCAGTAGAAAGTTTGTGATTTTTCGATAATGTTGCCTGTTCCAGGTTTCCGTACCTCACTCAGTGCGCATACATCAATATGCAACCTCTGCAGCTCCATAGTGACGAGTGCAGAGGCTCTTTCCGGTCGGACAGAGTTCTCAGAGTCGTTCATATCGTTCGTACGTTCCAAGATCCGAGTTTCAGTCCATTTTTTACTTCTGTCGATTTCTACCGCAAAGTTAGATCGGCTCTGGCCGCGGCTAGCCAGACACCGGCAGGTGAGATGACCGATGTATACCCCAGCTTTTCTAGGGGCTTCCCCAAATGGGGAGGGCTCCGGTCGTCCTAAAAAGGCGAGCCCCGACATCATGGAGAGCAGCCGAGGATCACTGTCATCTTAAGACAGTGTTCAGCGACAGTAACCAGACCATGACCGCCGTACGTGCACGTTTCTGCTGAATACTTCCAGGCGATCAACCCTTTACTCACTGCAGAGAGCGCGTCGCCGTAGGACTTTTACGCAACTCCATCAAGAGTAGAGCAGGCGATCGGCATGCGCGTGAGAAGAAAGCGGCTGCGCAACCGCTCCCATAGAACAGCCAGACGGAGTGTTGAATCGACGGTCTGGAGATCCATCACAGCCGCACTCTGTCTGGCTGCCGCAGTCAACACACCAGAACCTCAGTGTATTGGGAACTGCCATGTTGTAAGACGAGTAGTACCACAACAGCTGCTGAAGAGACACACTGATATGCCGCTACACGTCATCCATCTTCGCTGCTGCCTGGAGACCTCGGTTTGAGATCAGAGTGTCCTTCTCCTAGGTGGGTTGCCGTCTAAGGCTAACAAGCCCCACCTGCCTGGATTTGGAATCAGAGTTTTCCTTCTCCTAGATGGGCTGCCTTCCGAGTAGTGGCGTAGCCAGGAATTTTTCAGTGGGGGGCGCTGGGGGGGGGGCCGAAGCGCGAAGCCCTTACGGCGTGGGGTTCGGGGCCCGCTTAAGGGCCCCGAAAAAAATTGGATTCTAGATGTTCTGTGTCGTGATTTGAAGCAATTTCCTACGACTTTCCTCCATGCTTTAACTAATATTTTCTTGGCAAAAGATAATTATTTAAACATCGTTTTCGAGGTTGGAGACATTGAATCAGCTATCGGTATTCTGAGCTATTGGCGGGGGGGTTCGGGGCCCGCTTAAGGGCCCCGGAAAAAAAGTGGATTTTCGATGCTCTGTGGTGTGATCTGAGGCAATTTCTTACCACTTTAACCAATAATAATCTTAGCAGAAAAGATAATAATCTAAACATAATTTTCGACGTTTTCTCAGCTAAAGGCATAAGAAAATGTTGTGAACATTGTTTTCGAGGTTGGAGTCATTGAATCAGCTACCAGAATTCTGAGCTATAGGCGTGGGGTTCGGGGCCCGCTTAAGGGCCCCGAACAATTTTGGATTTTAAATGCTCTGTGGTGCTATCTAAGGCAATTTCTGACCACTTTAACCAATATTTTCTAAGCAAAAGATACATTGTAGTACATAATAGGGCCCATGGCGTCATGTAGATCAATGATAATTTTTTTAGAAACTCCAAATGTCCGTGGGGGGGGGGGGGGCGACTGGGGGGGGCGACAAGGTTTCATGGGGGGCGGTCGCCCCCCCCCCCCACCCCCCCGGTGGCTACGCCACTGCTTCCGAGGCTTACGAGCCCCATCTGCCAAGTTGCCTAACAACTTAAACGATATACGATTTATATAATCTCTTTTTTTTAAGGATGAACCTTCAAAGGGATTTTGTGGAATATTCTTTTAAGTTTAAATTCAGATTTTATCGCTGGTGATGTTGAAGAAAATTTCGACGATGATTCTTGAAATCGCATCTTTTTGGACGAGACAGGTTTAAGGGTCATTATTTTTAAACGGTGATATTTTCTGAACGGTTTGAAAGATTTTAGTGATTTTTTTTCATATAAAAATTTCTTATGAAATTGGCTTTCCAGTCATTATTATTTTAGTGATACATATTTTTTGGAATATGAAATACAACTTTTGGGATTTGGGTTCTGCTTTTTTTGACTCACCCTGTATTACATTCACACCGCACATTGCTCAAGTGAGTTGTTAATTTTTTTATTGAAAAGAAAACAATTCCATTGGTCACAGGCCAAAGCTAGGTGCCGGTTGTGTTGTTGGGGAATATTTTTACACGTACCTGTGTAACTTTACACGTACCTGTGTAACTTCGTTAGCGGATGCCGTACTTAAAATTTTCTTAACAACTTCACCCACTGAGTGACAGATTTGTACTTATTGTAAGTCACTTACAGCCTGACTGTCACTTGTGAATTACACTGGTTACTTGTCCCACTAACCTAACGTAACTTACTTTCATTTGTGAATGGGACTTTTTAGCCAGTCACGTTTATGAAGACTAGATGAATGGATGTATGAGCGCAAAAAAATAGTTTCTCAAATACATTTAACTCATTTACAGAAAAGAAATAATATGAAATCACGGAGAGAGAAATTTTAGTAAATGAATCAGCTTGACTTAAGTCATTTCTTTACTTTGAAATATGCATGTTATATTCAACAGATTTCGTTGGCGTATTGGAGTTGTAGTCTTCTTCAACCTTCAAGTGTGTAGCGCACTATAGTACGTTTGTTGGTAAGTATATAAATTTATACCAATTATCCTGTAGGCATACCTACTGGGCCTCCGTGTTCCTCTACGATGGTTTAGCTCGGCAGTAGTTGATGGCATGAAAATGGCCAAATTTCCTAATACCTGAGTCATGTGCCCGTGGAAGGTGCATTTTTTAGTTTTGAATAAAACATGGTTCAGAGGTCGTAGACAATTTCGTAGTCCTTGACTCTTTGAGCCCTCTTATGTAATATTATTTGGAAGATACTTTCGTGACATAAACTGTGTCTTTGTTTTATTTAACGAAGGCCGGGGGACCGGTGAAAAAAAACCCAGAAACTGGTCACCTTTCAGCACGAATAAGGCGAGTGCTTTTTTCACGGAAATTGACCGTGCTACGCCACTATTGTTAATGCCCGGACGCCTTTAGAAGGCCTTAGGGCCCTGTCACTCTTCTGCGTATCCTAATTCCTTATAAGGTGCGCTTGGACATTTTTTTCATACGCAGTCGTACGCACAATACGCACCTCACATGCATCTCTATCGTTTTGTGTAAGTTTTATCTACGCAGGCATACGCATGGTACGGCCCAGTACGCTGGATAGTTTTGGGCATGCACAAAACTACGCTGCGTACGCTGTTACGCAGGTCATAAGTTATAAATACGCAGCGTATCGGTCCCGCAACGGTCGAGCGCGGTACGAGTACGCTATGTGTTCAAGGGGGATAAGCCGTTCATACGCGGTAATACGCTGACCTCTATGCCCGCTGAACGAACTCATATCGAATGCCGACGTATTGCACGAATTAATACCGCTCGTCCTGCGAGCGGGCAGCGCATTGTACTTATTCGTAACTTATGAGAAATGCACAAATAGCGAACTTGCGCACTGCATACGCAACTCATACGCATCTCATACGCAGTGGATGCGCTGAAGTCGTTACTTGTTCGCTAAATGTGCGTCGCACATAAGTCAAAGTAATCAAAAAAATTTGACGTTTTTGATCGTACGGCTGCGTATTGAAAATTTTTGATAAGGAATTCATAAGGAATTAGGATACGCAAAGGTGTGACAGGGGCTTTAAACGCGTTGGTAACAGGCACCACATTGACTAAAGGGCACATACAAATGCTGATAGCATTTTGCAACCGTCCAAAAACAAGCTGTTTAACAAAAAGGAGAACAAGTCAACGCATTAGTTAATTACCTTATTGTCAAAAATAGTGTGCCTGCGTGAAGCGCAAAACCCCTGCAATTTTCACGTAATACCTATAAATCTACACTTTATCTGATAACGTTCAGTTTGTTGATTAGGACTACAGTTTGTTCAAACATATTATCACGAAGCTGGAATGTTCTAATTTCAGACGCATCCCAATCTTTGCAATATGGGCAGTAACCAAAGCAACACCTCCGAAGTGATTGGAATGACGTCTACGTGGGTGACGTTTGAGAACAACTGGTTCGATGAAGGGGCCTCCCGGTATGCATACAAGGGCACATTTCACGGGGATCCCCGCTTGGAAGGGAAACCCTGCGTGACGAAAGTCTACAAAGAAGAGTGGTATGAGCGTCTGTCAGAATATGCCTGGGAAGCAGACGACCGTGCATATTGCAAAGCTCAAGAGATGGCGCAATTGTTTAACATTAGGTATAATACGAGCAAACCAATCGAGTTCGTTAGACCTGAATTCACCAAAGTTGAAACCCGTGCCGCCTTTAAATTCCTGGGCTTCATTCCATTTGAACGATATGTCAAAGGAAAACGTCCTGGTACCTCCGACAGCGTTTCTAATATTATCCCCGCACACGCTACCGTCGCAGTCGAGAGTTACCTTGAGGGGGATTATGTCAAATTTAACAGCAACTTTGGATACTTGGGCAGAGCAGATATCGCCACCCCGGCTGCCTTCAGTCATTTCACTTATCATGAATCAGAGGGCAAGGTTTTGGTTTGCGATTTGCAAGGGGTGCGCAGTAGTTCTAGGTACATGTTTACTGACCCGGCTGTTAACAGCAGCAGCACGAAACTCGGCTTATATGGCTCTACTGATTTAGGGAAGGCTGGTATTGTCAAGTTCTTTCTGAAACACAGATGCAATGAGCTGTGTAAGGGGCTAAAGAAACCACAAATTAGCAACATGTCAACTGGTGAGAGGGATATTCTGGAGAAAATTGTACACAGTATACCTCCTAGCTGTGCTACAATGCACACGTTTCAGGTGACTCTGTCCTCTGGCGTATCCACCATGGAATTCAACAGCATGCAAAACAGCCTAGAGCTGAAAGCAATTCCTGAAGAACCAGTTAAGCCCATTCAAAAACCAGTTAAACACAATAAAGAACCAGCTCATCAACAACTGAGAACATATTCTCTGTTGCTTTTGCTGGCCTTTTTTGTTTATTACATAATGTGCCGTATTTCAGAGATGTAGGCCTACTGTCCGTGCTCTAAAAGATTTTTTCGTCTTTGAATTTTGAGTGCTTTATGTTAAAAATAACTTGTGATTTTGTTTCATATTTGAAGTCAAATATGAAGCAAATTATAGGCGTTTATAGGCGTTTATTGGTTTTATGATGTAAAACCAGTGCAATTTTCCAGCGGTAGGTAGAAATACAGCAATTGATTACCTAAATATCCAAACTTGATAAAAGTTTTTTTTTTAAGGACATTGCCAAACTGTACAACAAAAACATTACGCTCTTATTTAAAAAAAAAACGTTTTTTTTTTTTTTATAGGTTTCATAGGTTTGGCTGTGAGTACTGGATCCACCCTGCGTGTGAGTCGGTTTCCCAGCTCTATCATTACTAGTAGTAAAGTTCTATATCTAATTGTGGACCAAATCTTCGCCTGAGTTAAAATTTAAGAGTGAATTACTTTTGCATTCCTGTTGATTGTCATGATTGTTGATGTTAATTGTTGATAGTTGATTGTTGATTGTCGATTGTTGGTGTTGATGTTCATAATGATGTTAATTGTTGATTGTTGATGTTGACGTTGATTGTTGATTGTTGATGTTGATTTTTGACTGTTGATGTTGATTGTTGATGTTGATGGTGTGGGTTGAGGGTTGAAAAATAGCGCGAGAGGATAGTTAATAAGAGTCTGGTGAAGATCTGCTCCCGCGAATACTGCTGTACTGTAAACTTATGCAGTACCCTCTTTACCCCAATGTGCATGTTTTTAGAAAAAAACAAAAAAAATTTAAAGTTGGGCGCCTTTGCCAGCCGAATTTTTGAGTATCATATGACGTCATCAGGAATGTGCTTGCGTTAAGAGGTTTTCATATAGACCTTTCTACGCTTGGTTGGCAAACTGCAAATTTTGCCAACCACGGGTAGCAAAACTATGGAAGGTCCAACACTGCCAAAACGAAGAATTATTACAGATACCCAAAATATTATTTGATTGTTGGAAATATAACACTGTCAACACTACAACATTATTCATAAACATGCCTTTTTACTATGTAGTGAGGGCGTTATGAGCCCTTTTTTTTAAAATATGGTGCCAACCACGGCTTCAATTTATGCGCTTGCGGCAGCCCATATAAAATGGCGCCAATGTTTATAAACAAAAGAAAGGTCTATAAACGTGTACAAAACACTGGTAAACACTTAAAATACATTGGTCCATCAAACTGCCGTTACATGTAGCTCAATAGTTAACATGCAACAGTCGTAAAACCAGACACTCAAGAAGCGAGCACGGAATATTCCTTTTTGTACGCAATCATAGCTCACAGTTTTTCGGGATTTTTCTTTTTGTACACTGTAAAAAATTGCGTAATTTAACGGATGATTTTCTGTTGAAATTTCTGTAAAATTACAGTAGATGTTACTGTTTTCGGATTTTTCTGTAAATCTACAAATTTGTTCCTGCCTACGTACAGTTTTCTCCATTTCTCTGTTAGGTTATGGAATATTCGCTGTTAAACTAAAATTCTGTGCAGGCACAAGGAACATTGTGTTTTCAACAAGCCTCCCGTTTCGATTCTGTTAGAACACAGTCACATCGCTGTCGGTCAACAGAGAATCATCTTTTTTTGTACAGGGTTCGGCCGTATCGCGTGATTTTTCCCTGGTAGGCGGTAGTAGTGCAACGTTAGTGTGGCATAAACGCTGAAGGGTACCAGTATGTTGTCAAGGAAGGCGCGCGCGGGAGTCGGACTATACAGTACCATACAACTTCCCGTTGCGTCCGTGCGTATGCGTACCGTGAGTGTGATGTTGTAGCATCTTGGAGCAAATTTACTAATCCGTTTCTGCTTACATGTTTGTATTTGTATTGTAAATGACTATCATTCTCAAGGAGAAGCGCTATATAGAAGCGGTTTCAGTTTGTAAGCCTGATTGTCAACGACAACATCAGTTGAAAGTTGCCTGGTTGTCATTGCAGCATGACTTGCCGTAAGCCAACGTGCAAGTATCTACATTCGAACCTTCATGAGTTTTATCGATAGCACCGCCATAACATGACGTGTTACAAGTATCTGCATGTGAAGTACGTTCAATATACGAGAATATCTGTGAACTGAGGCTCACACAGGACCTGTCATTCGCAATCCTCGATACAAACATGAACACTTTGTCGTTTATCGGCCCCCATCAAATAATCGGCGTTCAAACGAAAACAACCTTTTTGTTCAGCTACAGAAAGTTGTTAAGGAACAAACAAAACCAGCGAATGTGCTGTTAGGTTACAAAACGACAACACTAAATCATCTGTTGCAAAACAGTAGAATCCCCTGTAATTGAACAATATCAAATAAAGTAGAATCTGCTGTTAATGTACAGAGAACAAAGAAACAGTAGAATATACTGTGCAAAAAAAGTAACTCCTGTAATGCCAATTGACAATAGAATCAACTGTTAATGAACAGAGATTTTTGTAACAGTGTACGCAATCACCTCGGCCCAGTTTGCTGTACACACAAAGTACGAGGCATTATGAGCGTTTGAAAACGTAGGCGTGTTCAACTTCAAATTTTAAGGGGGGCTGCAGGGCATCTTCTAGTTATCTTGTTGTGACGAAACCTTAGGAAATTCTAGACCCATTAATAAAGTGCCATTCAAAGCACAAAACTTGATAATATATTTGACGGTTGATTTTTTAGCAATTTTAAAAGGAAAAGAGGTCTTTTCTTTGTAACTTCCGGAATTTTTTTTACCTGCCGCTAGAGGGCGCTCGAACACTTGATGGCGTCACCGAATTTTTAAATTTTATTTTTGGAAAGATATCCCACCCACCGGCTAACTTTGTTAAAAGCAAGTTCATTTCTCTTCCTACTTTTAAATTACTAGGCACTTCCGGTTTCGACCGAAAGGAAGGGTCATGTGATTTTACGCGCACAAGATAAAACGAAGAGCATGTATTATCATGTCAATTCCCGCAAAATTTAAGTTCGGGTCTCTCACATTTGATTTTATGTTGAATTTCAAAGATTAAATGTGTTATTTGTTGAACAACTTGAGGTTGTAGGAACAACCACACGGTGTTTGGCCATGGACTATCTACCGCAAACTTTTCCAAACACATCAACTGAAAATGCATGTTAATCCATGTTTATCTTAGTGAACATCCCGCTAGAGGGCGCTGTCATATTTTATGACGTCACTTGTAATATTTTTGAAATTCACATCGTTGGAAGCAAGTTCACATCTTTTGCCAATTTCAAATAATAAGGCACTTCCGGTTTCGACCGGAAGGGTCACGTGATTTTGCACTTAATACCTTCAATGAAGACCCTGCAAAATTGTTTCGATTGCCACAAAAAAACAATCTGTAGCAGTTGATTTTATATTGATTTTCAAAGTTCCGGTCTCTTACGGTTGATTTTATATTGAATTTCAAAAATTAAATTTATTAAACTTTCAAGAGACGTCACGTGACCTATGAAGACGTCATAATGACGTAACTACAAAAAAAGCACATCTGCAGTGGATTGGGCATTCATATATTGACAAAGGAAGGTCATATGTGTTTCCATTTTGTTTTCAAACAGTTCCGGAGAAGAATTGTGGTTTGGAGAATAAAAAAAAAAAAAAAAGTGAACTTTTACAAAAACTAGAGGTATTAGGAACAACCACACGGTGTTGGGCCAGGGATTACCGCAAACTTTGCCACACACATCAACTCAAAATGTGCATGTTTAAATCCATGTTTGACTTTTGCAACCAGCCGCCAGAAGGCGCTCTCTCATTTGATGACGTCACCTGTAAAATGTTTGTACAGTACCTCCTAAGCTGACACTCACATCGTTGAAAGCAATTTCGCATCTTCTGCCAATTTCAAATAATAAGGCACTTCCGGTTTCGACCGGAAGGGTCACGTGATTTTGCACTTAATACCTACTATGAAGACCCTGCAATATTGTTTCGATTGCCACAAAAAAACAATCGGTAGCAGTTGATTTTATATTGATTTTCAAAGATTAAATCTAGAAATCTGTGATTACTTGTAATACATGTATGATACTTGAGGACGTCATTGTGAAGGTATGACCAGAAAGCTCATAACCTATTCTAAACAAGGAGCCTTAAACAAGAGCCTTAAACAAGAAAACACATCCCAACCAGGGTCAGATATGCGTAGATCTAAGGTTAATCTTTTGAATTTGAATTGTTTAAAATATTCTTAGGTGCAAGGTCTAGAAAGTAAAAAAAAATAGAAGAAACATGTTTTAGCTAGATGTCATCAGTTTTCACTTTTCTGTTTTCTTGTCATTTGATAGTGAAATTTTCCATGTTTTTATTGTATGTTTTTTTTCTTTTCAGGCGTAGCTGTGCTTTATAGTAAGATGAGACTTATGTAACCAGTCGGGATCCCACTTCCTTTAACCCGACAGGTTCCTTACTCAATCATAACTTTTGTCAAAACAATAAATCACGTCTTGCATTGTATATTTCCAATATGTCTTCGGCCTTTAAACTATTTCAACCTTTCGCAAAACAAAAACGCTCAAGTATGAATTGTTTCTTAATTTTTTGTTCAAATTTAGAGTTAGAAATGAACTCTCACTTTTCTTTCAATTATTGGCTTTGTTCAAAACATATAGCACACACTTGCAATTTTTTTCTTGGCTAATAACGGTTAATGGTATTTTGCATTACTTTGTAAATGTTACAATATTTTGTAAATCTTACATTTGTATATCAAATACTGCATTTTAATAGATACTATGCCATTACAAAAGCAGGAATAATATTCTTATTCTTGTATTATTAACTGTTGCAGCGGTTATATCGATTCTTGCTAAATTGGCAACACAGTAAAACAGTTTCCATTTAGCTGATAGAGATGTTATATTTGAGAGAGATATTTAATTTTTACACTAAATAAGAAATGTTCATTCAAAATTTGTTTAAATCAATTACTGGAACAATACAATGTTGTAGAGGCTAACAATAATTTTGCCCAAATAGTTTGATCAG